ATATATATATATATATATATATAAAACAAAAAGTACCGATAAGAATACTGTTAAAGTATCAGACATTATACACACACACACACACACACACACACACACACTGGGATGTTGCCAAAATGGTGTGATACTTCAAAGAATCCATAATGTCCTTCATACAGCCAAGATTTTAATTTCCTGTAACAGCAAAGTACCCCCATAACAAGTGTAGTTCACCTTCATGTTGGGGATGCTGTTCTTCAGCTTATAAGCCTTGCCTTTTTTGCACCAGACATACTGCTAATTCATAGGTCCAACAAGTTCCTTTTTGGTTGAACCATTCTATGGAACATTCTTTCAGAACTCGATGTGTACCCAAATTTGTTTTAGCATATTCAAGTCAGCCTTTTATGTTCTTCTTGGTCAAGAGTGGCATTCTGCAAGGTGTCTTTAGTGGAGTTAGTTTAGCATCAAATGCATTCTTTTTTGTCGGTAACCGAGATCTGGCAACAACGCACTTTTCCACTAAGGCAAACAATTTGTGGATAGCTTTTCTTGCACATGAAATCACCCACATGCCAACAAACCAACGAGAACCTCAAAATCTTCTTGAGGTGGCACAGTTTTAATGGGTGTGGGATTTAACAGTTAAGTTTATACATTTTCTGGTCACACTTTATTTTAAGGTCCAATTCTCACTATTAACAAACCATTAACTATGACTTTTGCCTTAAATAAACTCCTAATTTGCTGCTTATTAATAGTTAGTAAGGTGGTTGTTGAGTTTAGGTATTGGGCAGGATTAGGGATGTAGAATATGGCCATGCAAAATATGTGCTTTATAAGTATTAATAAACAGCCAATATGTTATTAATAGGCATGCTAATAAGCAACTAGTTAATAGTGAGAATTGGTTCCTATACTAAAGTGTTACCAATTTTCTTATTGATTGAATGTGCCACTATAGGTAACTGAGCCAAAAATAAAGCTACAATAAAAAAATAAATAGTTATGTAGTTGTATTGAAAAGGTTGACTGTAGTTGAAGATGAAGTGTGTAATTTGCATTCTGGTGGGACCAAATGGAAGTGCAAAAATAATGATTTCAAACTGTTTCTAAACAGGTTTCCACATTTCTCCCCCAACTGCCACTGGTCAGCCAAACAGTAGTCCCACCCAAAATCTCTTGTGGCCTGTAGTACAAAGTGGGTTCAACCATTTGACCAGGTAAGTTTGAGTTTAATTTAACTCTGTATTTTCTTTACCATGAAGATGAATATGATTTTACAAAATTCTACAGCCATAATGTACAATAGCAGACAGAGTCAGAGTGCTTCAGGACAAGTTATGTTTTCAGTCACAAATCACAAACAGATATTGGAGCCAATAAACTGTAAGCACAGTCACATATCTCTGAAACAATAAGCCAACTTCACCCGTATCTCTCGCTTTAAATTAAAGTGTGTGTAGCGAATCAGCTCAAAGGGGAAATATATAAAAGACAATATACAAGGACAGTAACAACATACACAATGACCTGAAGGATATGTGTGTTCATTCAAAGAAAGGTTTTCCTATGAATTAATTAGAGAAGAGTCCATTTTTACTGTGCATTGTGTCTTTCCTATGGAAAATGTAGTGAGTTTCTCTACCCACATTCCTTTGGGCAATAAAACCAGTGATATCAGCATTGGTTGCCATGGAATCAGAGGCCTATTCTGCCTTCCTGAGGTGTTAAGACGCATTTCGGGGGAAGGGTCCACAGGCCCTCATATGGCATGTTAACTGAGGGGTGTTACGGAGTATTTGTTAAATATAACTAGCAAAACTATATTGTGTGTCTGATTGGTCCAGACGCTACAAATAACCCCCTTTCGAACGTTGTTGTCCGTCCAATAGACAACAGCGAGCGACTTCCTTTGGGCAATAAAACCAGTGATATCAGCATTGGTTGCCATGGAATCAGAGGCCTATTCTGCCTTCCTGAGGTGTTAAGACGCATTTCGGGGGAAGGGTCCACAGGCCCTCATATGGCTTGTTAACTGAGGGGTGTTACGGAGTATTTGTTAAATATAACTAACAAAACTATATTGTGTGTCTGATTGATCCAGACGCTACATGTGCTTCAAATGAATGTTAGAATTTTTAAAATTGAATTTAATCTGCAAATATATATTATTATAATTATAATAAAGTTAGTATTATCATCATCATCATCATCAATGAAAATTTCATTGCATTCCCTAGTCCAGGGGTAGGCAAGTTCAGTCCTAGAGAGCCGCAGTCCTGCAGAGTTCAGCTCCAACTCTGAAAAAAAAGCTCACCTGCCTATAGCCTTAGATTAGGGTTGGAGCTGAACTCTGCAGGACTGCGGCTCTCTCGGACCGAACTTGCCTACCCCTGCCCTAGTCAGATACCCACTCTATCGGACCCCATCAGACTGCGCCATCTAGAGTTTCATGGCAGAATTTTGTATTAGACTTTATATGCATTTATGGTGTAATTACTACAATTTTGTGTCAATCCATGTTCATTTTTGCTACAAACAGTGCACTTTTATTTTAATTTAGTGCTTGAAGCACAGCAAAAATAGTCTCGTTGCGGAAACAATCACTGCACTGCTGCATATGCACCGCATCTGGAATGCATTGATGGACCACATCCGTGTGCAGTGTGAATGCTCTAATCTGATAACATGGGCACAGAAAAAAATAATGCACCACATCTGCACTGCAAACAGAGTATGTGTGAAATGGGTCTTAGGTGTCTTACATTATGGAAATTGCAGTTTATTGCTCTGAGCACATCTGCAGTCCTCATGCCTCTCTGCAGTAGGACTTATGGCAGGTTCACACAGGTGGACAGGAACCCTTGGTATCTTTCTTCTGGTGTAATCATGTAATGTAATAATTTCTTATAATTGTGACCTTCATTGCCTACCACCAGTAAATTGTTAGTGTCTTAAGGATAGTTCCACAGGAACATGTGCAGTAATTATATAAAAAATAATAAAAAATATTGTTTAAACCCTTTCCAATAATGATCTGTAAAGATTATTTGGATTTTACAAAATTATCATTAAAGCTTGTTGGTTAAAAATTATCCAAAATAAATTTTTGAGCAAGTACATAACCAGCCAGTGTTCAAAACTGTTGCCTTACCTTAGCCCGATTCACAACGGTAAGCTTATAATAATGTTTTCTAATTTGAGGGTACTGGTAAGGAATTTGTGGGAAATTCGAGCATGCCGCTGCGTCATTACGTCACTTCTGTAAACATAAAGAAGTTGTCCCGGCTAGTAGGCTGAGAGATGTGAGGATTCTGCAGGTGGCGGATCATTAATAGCCTTTTCTCACAGCAGCTGGAATAATTAAATTTATCATTTTGATGGCGGATTGTAATCCAGAAAGGATTATGTGTTTATGAAACACATGTAAGTGACTGAAATTAGATTATATTTGAGTTTTAAGTGTGCATCTGATTACAGATAGGCCTTGCATACGTGGGAGTACACAAGTTGTATTTTAAAGAGAACCAGTTCTATGGAAGAATAATTTGCTTTTTGGGTTAAAACAATTTCTTTATATGAAATTCGAATTGTATGACAATTATAGATTAGACTGTACAGAAATTGAAATATACATGTAACACTAACACACACTACAAACATGTAGTCACACAGTGCTGATATTGTTAACATTAACAATTTCAGAACAAAATATAACAATAATAATTTGCATGTTTTGATGTGATATGAGCTAAGCAATCGTTAGATTTAATCACAGCTGGTAGCGTGATTTATTGTAATGCTGTTTTCCTCAGTTGGTCAGAACAAAAGTAGCAGACTTGATACTTGTTCAGATGACAATATCCAGTGAAAATTCTTATTTGGGTCATACTTTCAAGATGTAGGCTAGAATCTGTGATTCTGAAGTTCAGTATCCACACCAGTGCAGTGACTGACAGCCACCACATCAGAACATTCGATTTATCCGCGCTGAGGAGCTGTGCCGGTGCACAACCCACACAAAGAAAATAATTCCGCAAATAACTGCAATTGCAGGTTTCAATCAGAGATGGCGACAAAGAGGCAAACTTACGGTCTGCAGCTTTAAAATACAATATCCTAAAAAGGGTTGTTTCTTTTTTGCTGAGTTTACGTCATATTGTTGTACCTATTTTTGAGAGATCTGTGTGTTTTCCTGTGTGTTTCATCACGGACATATTATTATACTGATTTATAATTTATAACATACACTCGAACACACTAATAATTTCACTGAAGCAGTCTAAGTCATCGTTACTAGTTCTAAAGTACTGTTTTAGAATTAGTAACAAAGCCTCTGGAGTATCTGTTTAACTATTAACAGCAGATTTAAATCCTTGGTGAAAGAAAGTACATTGCTCAAAAAAATTAAGGGAACACTTTGAAAACATCATGCTGGATATCTTCAGTATACTGATATGGACAGAGTAATATGTTAGGAACGAAAGGATGCCACATCGTTTGATGGAAATGAAAATTATCAACCTACAGAGTGCTGAATTCAAAGACAAACCCAAAAATCAAAGTGAAAAATGATGCAGCAGGCTAGTCCATTTTGCTGAAATTTCATTGCAGCAACTCAAAATGGTACTCAGTAGTTTGTATGGCCCCCACGAGCTTGTATGCATGCCTGACAACCTCGGTGCATGCTCCTAATGAGACGACGGATGGTGTCCTGGGGTATTTCCTCCCAGATCTGGACCAGGGCATCACAGGAACGAAAGGAAGCCACATCGTTTGATGGAAATGAAAATTATCAACCTACAGAGGGCTGAATTCAAAGACAAACCCAAAAATCAAAGTGAAAAATGATGCAGCAGGCTAGTCCATTTTGCTGAAATTTCATTGCAGCAACTCAAAATGGTACTGAGTAGTTTGTATGGCCCCCACAAGCTTGTATGCATGCCTGACAACCTCGGTGCATGCTCCTAATGAGATGACGGATGGTGTCCTGGGGTATTTCCTCCCAGATCTGGACCAGGGCATCACTGAGCTCCTGGACAGTCTGAAGTGCAACCTGGCAGCGTTGGATGGACCAAATCATAATGTCCCAGAGGTGTTCTATTGGATTTAAGTCAGGCGAGCGTGGGGGCCATTCAATGGTATCAATTCCTTAATCCTCCAGGAACTGCCTGCATACTCTCACCAAATGAGACCGGGCATTGTTGTGCACCAGGAGGAACCCAGGACCCACTGCACCAGTGTAGGGTCTGACAATGGGATTGTCAAGGATTTCATCCCGATACCTAATGGCAGTCAGGGTGCCATTGTCAAGCCTGTAGAGGTCTGTGTGTCCCTCCATGGATATGCCTCGCCAGACCATCACTGACCCACCACCAAACTGGTCATGCTGAACGATGTTACAGGCAGCATAACTTTCTCCACGGCTTCTCCAGACCCTTTCACGTCTGTCACATGTGCTCAGGGGGAACATGCTCTCATCTGTGAAAAGCACAGGGTGCCAGTGGCGGACCTGCCAATTCTAGTGTTCAATGGAAAATGCCAATCGAGCTCCACGGTGCCAGGCAGTGAGCACAGGGCCCATTAGAGGACGTCAGGCCCTCAGGTCACAATCATGAAGTCTGTTTCTGATTGTTTGGTCAGAGATATTCACACCAGTGGCCTGCTGGAGGTCATTTTGTAGGGCTCTGGCAGTGCTCATCCTGATCCTCCTTGCACAAAGGAGCAGATACCGGCCCTGCTGATGGGTTAAGGACCTTCTATGGCCTTGCCCAGCTCTCCTAGAGTAACTGCCTGTCTCCTGGAATCTCCTCCATGCTCTTGAGACTGTGCTGGGAGACAGCAAACCTTCTGGCAATGGCACGTATTGATGTGCCATCCTGGAGGAGTTGGACTGCATGTGCAACCTCTGCCGGGTCCAGGTATCTCCTCATGCTACCAGTAGTGACACTGACCCTAGCCAAATGCAAAACTAGTGAAAAGCAGTCAGAAAATATGAGCAGGGAAAAAAATGTCAGTGGCCTCCACCTGTAAAACCCTTCCTGTTTTGGGGGTTGTCTCATTGTTGCCCATCTAGTGCACCTGTTGTTAATTTCATTAACACCAAAGCAGCTGAAACTGATTAACAACCCCCTCTGCTACTTAACTGACCATATCAATATCCCTGGAGTTTAACTGACTTGATGCTATACTCTGATTAAAAAGTGTTCCTTTAATTTTT